CTTTTATTGTTATTATTATTTCTTTTTGCAGCTGGCTGGTATAGAGAACCAAACTGTTGTTATTACAGGGCTATGCTCTAACGAGCTGAACTAACCAGCCAGCCCCTGTATTTCTCCTCAAGTGGCTCCTTTCTGTTTCCCATTTACCTAAATCCAACCAATTCTTTAAGGCCCAGGTATAGTACCATCTACTTCATGAAGAATTCCATATGCCACTCCAGTCTAAAAATGAACTGTCCTTCTTCTGAGTTCCTTGTCATCCAATTTAGCAATTTGAAGTTCTGGAACTGATTTTTTTTTAAAACTTCATTTTCAAAGTTATCCACAAGGTAGATCTCTATCTACCAGATCATGAGGAGAAATCTACAAAGAACAGAGGTAGTCAGTCATGAAGCAAAATGTGAGGCTCTTCCCCTCTGACAGGTGTTCTGGGAGCGTGTGCACAGGTAGAAGGTATGGAGTTATGTGTGTCTTGTGTGCAGGGAGCAGCAAGAAGTTCCCAGAGGCTGGAGTGTTGGGGAAAGGAGTGTGCGGGACTCAGAGCTTTGCCTCTCTGTTGCTGGAAGGACCACATGGAAAGCATGAGAAGGAATGTGGGAAGTCTTTAAGCTCAAAGACCATCAAAGACCTCAGTCCTAAATCTAAAGGGAACTGAGTGAGTCAGCAATCAGAATGAACTTGGAAGTGGATTGTTCTCCAGACCCTCTAGAAAGCAACAACCTCACCACACCTGATTTTGAACTGGTGAGACCGTAAGCAGGGTACCCAGCTGAGACAACTGGACTTCTGACCTATAGAAACTATGAAATAACATATTTGTATTGTTTTAAGCTGCCACATTTGTTGTAATTAGTTGCAGCAACAATACAAAATTCATACACATTTCATTATTTTTCTTATCAGTGCCTTTTTATGGCTGGGTTAGCAGATAAATTGGTCTACAAAACCGGTGCTAGTGTTACAAATTCTCACTGAGATGGACAAAATGCCAGGGGATCGAAACTGCCACCCCCTTTCAAGGGAACTTTGAAGTCTTGCAGATGATGTCACACTGTGAACTTTCACTTATCTCTGGGTAAAATGTGTATTTCATTACTTATCCAACATAACGGTATAAGCCTGACATTTTATCTTCATCATCAAATACAACTGTGGTCCGGCTGATTCCTGCCCCTCTATGTGTGTATTTGTGTTAAGAGACGAATTTAGCTTTATCCCAGTAAGAGCACAATTGAGAAGGAAAGACTGCGGCTTAAAGGAGGACGCTTCTCTAGCAATCTGCTGTTTTATATTTTCTGTGCTTGAATATATTATCCAACATGGAAGTAAAAGGGAATGAAAATCATTAAGGACTATGGGGTATGCAGTATGCTGGGTGCTCCTGTGTATATTCTACCTTTATTTGGCTCTCATAAAACTCTGCGAGGTAGGTATTAATAGCCTCACTTTTCAGATGAGGAAAGGAGGATCAAAGAGGCTAAGTTGCCCAACGCCAAACTACCAGCAAGAGGGGCATTTAGCATCCAAATCCGCATCTGAGACTCCTGAGACTTTTTGCTCTACTAGGCTGTCTTAGAAGTTGCTGAATTTATTCTTAAGCTAGTGCTTCTCAAAGTGTGTGTTAGGAACCCATTGTGGTCTGCAAGGATCAACCCAATCAGCCAGTTGGTCAGTAATATCTTAAGCTCAGCACCATTTTAAGGATTGTATAAGCTACAAAAAGAATATGACATGATCCTGATGTCCCATGACTCAAATTTGATTTGGGTGAGTGAAGACATCTCTACCTAAAATAAAGGTAAACAATACAAGGCCATATACAAATAAGCACTGAAATGAAAATGTAGATATTAGTTATATCAGAGAAGCAAGAGATGCCAGAATGGTTAAGGAAATTAGCAGGTAAGATTTGAAAAATGAGAGGATGTTCTATGTGAAGGAAGCAATGTGTTGATTGGAGGCTCAGGTAAATGGCTAATTACGATTTTTTTTTTGGTAGGATAAGGAGGAGATTTAACAGGACTCATAGCAAGAGAAATAAGCTGAAAATGGTCAGGAAACAGGTGAGATCTCTAAGGGTAGATAATGGAAGGCCCTTTACGCCAGATAATTCTGCACTTGATGCAATAGGAATTGATATTTCTACATCTGGCATCAATTATGCATTTACCTATGGCTGCCTTCATAGGGTTCCTTGGAAACAATACTACATTCTTCTTTTCCATTTCAATAATTAATTTACTGTTTAGAAGAGCTGTAGGGGGGAGATGAATGCAATAGCGTTTTGCTCTAGGTTTATTACTGCCAAAAGGATGACCAAAACATAAAATGAAGTAGAGAAGCATTGCTCTGGACCAAGAAGTTGCAACCCTGGCTTGATGGAAGTTCAGCCCACATGAATGAAGTGTTCCTGGTGTGTGAGTGACTTCCATGCAGCAGTTGAAGCTGACATGCCATGCTGGGGGACTCACTCAAGGGGACCACCACTCAGAGTCCTCACCAGTGTAGGGGGAAGAAACTCAGAAACAGGATTCCCCTCTCTAAGGCAAACCATGGGGACAGATCATTCTCTACCATTATAACATCAATTGAAATTTGAAGAATAATGGGGAAAAGCTGAGGAGAAAAGCTATTTTGGCTATTTGAGCCTGTGATGCTGACCCTATCTGTGGAGATAGGAAAAAATCTCCTGGAAGACTCTGTCTTCTCCTTTGCTTAATGCCCTGTGCAAAAGCCCAACTCAGAACATATGTAGATGTAGACTTACTGGTCCATGGAGAATAAAGAAAAAATCTAACCAGAGAGTTGCTATTTGAAATGAGAACTATTGACTTTACAACCTCACCTTAGAAATGTAGGTATACCAAGAGCAAAATAAGAAAGTGCCAGGCAGTCCTTTGTGTCATAAGCGTAAATTTAATAGCTGGTGCCTTCCCTTTAAATCCCCTTGGTATAAGTGCTGGCAACACTGACCAATGAGAGCAGCCAGAACTTGGTTTGTTCTGGGTGGTGTGTGTGTGTGTGTGTGTGTGTGTGTGTGTGTGTGTGTGTGTGTGTGTTTGATTTGTAACTGAACCTGGCCGGTCACATTTTACATTGCTGAGGTGGAGTTGGGATTTTAAACTTTGGAAAACTTATGGCATCTCCCCTTGTCTGATTCTGATCTGAGAAGAAACACTCAACACTCAGCTACTCTTGGGAAAAATTTTTGGCAACCATCTTCAGCCCTGACTAATTTGTCCCCTTCCCGGTTGCTGTCCTGGCACTCGAAAGCTTGTGGAGATTTTAGTTACATAGAACAGTTGGAAAATCTGGATGGTTTTCATGCCCAATTGCTGCTGCATTTATTTTAGAAATATATTCCCCTGTTTGGGTAATGACACAGAATGCAGAAGGAAAGGTTATCATGGTCAAATCTGGGAAGGCAGTTAAGAGAAAATTGAAAAAACTAGGCAAGCAAAGTGGTGGGAAGGAGAGAAAAGGAAGAGGAGCATGAATGGCTGGAGGAGAAATGAGGGCTGGTTTCTCTCCCTTCTTTTGGGGAGGCTGGAGGACAGGCAGCTGGGAAAAGGAAGCAGGGTGAGTTGTCCCCATCAGCTGGGCACCTATGTCCTTACATCATCATCATGGTTATTTCTGGGCAGTGGGATTGTGGGTGGTGTTATTTTTTCCTATACTGGCTTTTCTAAATTTTCTAATTGTCTTCACTAACAGGTATTTTTTTAGATAATAGAAGGAACAAATGTTTTCTAAATAATCAGTTGCTATATGCTTATGGGTGGGGAATCCATTTTTATTGTGTTGTCAGGGACTCAAAGAGAAAAATAGTACTTAGCATGAAAGGGGCTTGTTATTTAGTGGGAGATGTACTGACACAGACTTGTAGAACCATGACATGACTGCTGAGGAATGACAAGGTGTCCCTTACATATTTATAGCTGCCACATTGCGCAGGACTATATCTTTCACATATTGGGTACTGAATACTTTTTAAAATTTTGTGATTAGAATAAATAAAGTAAAAGTATAATAGCACAAAGAAGAATATCCTATACGAGAAAACTTTCCGGCCCACAGGTCTTACTTGCGTAGCCACGACAAACTGGTTTACGACCGCAGTCTTTCCAGCCCACATCCCAACTCCTGGTGGACATTCGGAAGGGGATGAGGTCTCCTCTCTAACAACTTCCCAAAACTTTTGAAATGTGGCCTCAGACTCTTGGTTTCCTTAATGACTAGCTCCGCTCTGTTTTTATTTTTGGTCTATATCACTCTCAAGGTATACATTTTTGTATTTTTACCACTAAATGTATCAATTCCCTCAAATTGTACAAAACTTTTTAACAGTAATAATGATTTAAATATGTTTTAGTGCTTTATGATTTAGTAAGAATATTCTCATTCTCCATCTGTGTCCCCTTTGTATATTAAGGACATCCATACTCCGCCCAAGGTATTTGTGCCCAGGTGAAAAGAAGCCTTTGCGTACAGAATCTGCATCACACCCTGGCTCCAAAGAACTCCCTTTATGTAAAACAAACAAACAAACAAATAAAAACACTATTTTTAGCAAAGACTAAATTGCCTGTTAGCTAGTGCCTTTTTCTGGGCTCCACTATTTAAACAGCTGGCCAGGGTTCTTTAGGGATAACTCAGAGGCTGAGTCATACTACTGACCTTGTCAAACACAGAAGAAATATAGTGACAGAAAAGGGGGTGATGCTGGGAAAATTCAGGAAACCTGGGATCCAGCCCCTTTTCTGCACCAAACTGTCTTGATGACCTTGGGTTTTGATTTCCTTGTCTGTCAAGTGGGGAAGCAACACCTATCTGCAGACCTCAGTGGATTTTGAAGATCAGATGAAAGTAAGGAGACACGCCTTGAAAAACATCACGCCCTGTTAAGATATAAAGGGTGACTGTGATGTAGCCTCAGGGACTGCTTTTCATCTCTCTGTGGCCTCAGATCCTCCATCAATAGGTGAGCCCCATTTCCTTACCGATTCACTGCCCACCTCCTCAATCTCGTCAGCCGCTCCATTGAAGAGTGGGGGAGCCACAGCAGCCAGCTCTCGGGACTCACCTGCTCCATCTACTATCTCCCCCTTAATGCCCCCTGCTTGTTATCCAATCTGAATCCATCGGGCAAAACCCAATATCCACTTGCTTTTACAACATGCAACTTATTGCTCTGAAAGTTATCTTACGGGTCCTTTTTTCCTGTAGAATGGGCTTTTACTTCAAGTCATTAAATGTGTGGACTCCCATTATTCTCTCTAATTGCTTTGCATATGTGTCTATACCCATCTCTTGTCTCCTGATAGTCATATAAGGTCTTCAAGGACAGGCACGTTTCCTGGTACTTCACATCACCTAGAGCCCAGCACCTACTTCAATACCCTGCACACCCAGCACCCTTTAACGTCAGTGGATGCAGTTCCATTTCCTCTTTCCAGCAGCTGTGCCCCTTAAAAATCCATCCCCGCTCACCAGCTAACTTCAGTCTAACCAGATGCCTTCCTGTACCCCCCACATACCTTGACCCATGACACCGTCCATCTTTGCCCTTGCTGCTATAGCAGTCATTCATTATGCACTCACTCTCCTAGGTTCCACCCCAGGATTTTGTCCTACTCTGAACACTGTTATCCTTCCTGATCCTGCATCCCTATGCCTCCCACTGTTGGCCATTGAGTTCGCGTGGGTTAAACTTGGTCTGCTTTTATTCTCTTGTTGTTTTATGTATGCTAATTTTAGTATCTTTTCTTCCTTGCTTTTCCTTTTCTTCTGTTCTCCCTAATTGTCCCTGACACTATGCTATGTGTTCAGTGACTAAAGAGCTCCCAATCATTGTTAAAAGTGTAAGCTTTTTATGAACTAGCACATATATTTTATTCCAAAAAATAGTAAAGAGATTTGGATGTCCAATAATTAGGCTTTAGTCTATAATGCTTTGTACATAGTAAATGTTCAGTGACAGATCTATGTGTTAGAGCTTGTGATAACTTGGATTGTTCTTCTACATGTTCACAGTGGCACAGCCGACACCCACAGTACCACAGAGAGGAGTTTTCAAACAGTCATTACCATGATCAAATATTAAGTGCTATGTGTCTGGGGCAAGAAAGCGGGAGCTGGTCTGCAATCTCTTACCTCTTTTCAAATACTATAACCTTTACCTTTTTTTTTTTTTTTCCTTTTTGTCTTTTTTCGTGTCCGGCAATGGATCGCAACCCTCAGTGTCGCGCCCGTACCGGACCGGGGACCGGCAACAGGATCGCAACCCTTGGTGTTGCTCCCACACCTCGCTCAGCCAGTGAGCGGGAACCGGTCTGTATGTGGGATCCGAACCCTTGGCGGGAGCGCCACCGCGCTCCCAAGCGGCGCACTGTAGCATGCGCCACCGGGCCGGCCCCTAACCTTTACCTTTTCTATACATGACCTTCATGGGGAGGTGAAATGACCCAGCATAAGGGACTCTTTATGCTCCCAGAGTTGGGGACCTCAGACTTAAGGCCTACTGAGAATAGGAATGCCACTGCTCATCAAGGGCTGACTCCTGAAGCAAAGTCTCCTTAGAAGCTGGAGCTCTGCTGGAACCACAACCGAGTTTTCACTTTCTGCACCTGCAGCCTTCACTTTCTTGTCATCTGCTTTCTTATTCATTAACTCCTTGCCATCTGGATTTGGCACACAACCCACCAAGCCTTCAACATATCAGGCACTGGGTACATACTTTTAATTTTTCTGTCATCTTCAGGGCCACCAGTATGTTCTTACATATTCTCATTTGTTCTCATCCTCCATGAACTCTCTGCAACTTCTGGTCCTGCTAACCACCCTTTTCTTCTTAAATCCATTCTTCATCAACCCTTCGGTTCTCCTCCAGGACTTCTGCCATCCCTTCTCTGCATCTTTCCTGATCCCCTCTTATTCTGCCTCTCTTTTTATGGTGGCCCCCGGGGTTCTCCATTCTATTCTCTTTTATCTGTTCCCTTGACTCTGTCCTTTGGTGGATCTCCGGGTCTAGCTCCACACAGCACTGCCAACTGTTGCCTTAATGACCCATCACTTCACACTGCAACCACATTCTCTCTCTGGTTTCTATAATCCTGTTCATGTGCCACCAACCACTCCCCCAGTTGCCTAGAGCCAATATACTGGAATCATCTTTGACATTAGCTAGAGAGAGAAAGAGATGAATCGAGGATGACTCCTTATTATTATAATTTTTTTGCTTGACACCTGGGTATATAATGGTGCCTTTATGATGCTTATAATCTGGGGGTGGGGCGGGAGTGGGGGTGAAAGGGCAGGATGATGGCTACAATCCCATCGAGTAGATGAATAATTACAAAACAGATCAGAGTGGAGACATGGGGGTAAGTTTGCCTAACCCAGACTAAGAGGAGGGAGTGATCAGGAAAGAAAGACAAAGTACAATTTGGTCACTTCATGACATTTGCCTGTTTAAGAAGTGGCTTCCCACTGCCTACTTAATTAAACACAAGCCTCAGCATGTGGGAAAAAGACCCTCCAACCCATGACCACGACATTATTTTCTCACCTTATCTGCCAGGATTCCCCAACCACAGATTCAAACCTCATTATAACTGAACCACACACCTTTTCCCAAATGTTTCTTGGGTATTTCCACCTAAATACCTCTGTTTACATGGCTGTCTTTCTACAATGTGCTTCCCAACCCATCACCCAGCACTACCCTCACGTCTCCACTCTCCACAAGTCTCTTCCATCCTTTAAGGCCCACCTGCCATGGTGACTACTCTAAAGAAGTATTTCCTGATTCTACCTCTAGTCCCCCTAAGAAAACGTGGAGGTGGCCCACTGTCACTTGGACAGCACATCCCTTTCTCGTGACCCTTCAAGTCTGTTTTATAATAAGCTGAGGGTGGTTTCTTCCCCTAGATTATAAGGGAATCTTCTGGATGGTAACCTCTTTGAATTTCTCCCAGGATGTCACTAAGTTTTACACATAGGGGGCAGCAAAGAAATAATTTAAAAATTTCTCTTGTCTTTATTACTTCCCCTTGAATTCAGTCAATTTGCATTAGGCACTACACTGGCTCAGGTGTAGGCCACAGTCCCAACAAGTATTCTGTCTCATCACTTTTTATTTATAGAGAGATGGTTTGCTGGAGTTTCCTACCAAAGATGCTTTCCTTATCTCTGTCCAGTGACAGGCCAGCCTTTGGAAGGCGTGCTTACTAATTTCTCTAGCCAAGAAAGTTCCATGTTATATCAAAGCCAAGCCTGTCAAAATTGTAACTTCTTTGCACCCACACCTGAAGCTGCATGATTCTCCATTCCCACAGAGGTATAAATAAAAACTTCCATCAGGACAGAGCAATGTTTGCCAACTGTGGGAAGATAAATGGCCTGGGGGAATTCATGCTCCAAAGGCAGAATTGCTCGATTTCTGATTTCAATGTAGCAGAAGAGATGCTGTGAGTCTAAGACATTTCTTGTGTTTCATTACTAGAAAGTTATGGGTTACAACGTTTAATTTGATTAATCCTTGGTTTCCAAAAGGAAACCTTAGGAGAAACCTTGGAGAGCTCAATAAAATAAGTATGTGCAATTGTTAAGACAGGAAAGAAAAAAAAAAATAAATGACGTCCATCAGAGCCCACAAAGATCATTTCCAGTCCCAAATATGGTTCCCCAGAGGCAGCCTGGAAACCAAATTATTGTCAAAGAGATGCTTACCTTTTACAGCAGCTCACAGCAAAAGAAAAAGTATAACTTAACATCTCTCCCATGACTCATTTTTATGTTATTTTTTTTCTTTTGTTCTCTCTCTCTCTCACTGTCCCTTTCCCTCTTTCTGATATTAAGCCCCAATCTGAGCCCTTCAACCAAGTAGACATGTGTCACTGGATGAGTCACCAGACCTTCTGAAGCCTCAGTATGCTCATAAGCAAAATGACATGTTTGTACCACCTTATTAAGTTTCTTTTAATTCTGAGTCTAAATACAAGTGCAAGTGTGCTCTCGCTGCCCCCATGCAATTGGTCATATTAATGCTCTAACCTATTTCTTTTTAACGTGTTGGCTATGGTTTCAGCCTGCCCAAGGAGCATGCTAATTTGTTGGTGGGAGTCAGGTAAGAGGAGTTCCACCTCTGCAAAATGAAAGATGAAATGGCTAAGCAAAGTGGCAGGGGCCAAAGATGAATGGGGTGAGTCACACAGATTAATTCATGGACCAGAGGGATCTGTCTTGAACCTTCATTGAACAACTAATTCTTTGGCCAACATGGCCAATGGGGACTTGGGTGTTTTCTTCCCGACTGACCATTGTGTGTGTGTGTGTGTGTGTGTGTGTGTGTGTGTGTGTTCAAATTCCATATTCAAATTCCACTGTATAAATGTGAGACTTTTAGAACCCTAGAGTATCAGGTCTGGACAGAACCTTTATTGTCATAGAGTCACTTGTGGAAACTGAGACAATAAAGGTTCTTCAAAGAAAAGAAGCAGTCTTTCAGCTAGTTAGTGTGGGAGCCAGACTTTCCCAGGTCCTCATAACCCCACTTAAACCACACAGCAGCCATTAGCTAACTCATCTTTCATTTCCTCCCCCAGGAGGACTGAGAATTCAACCTGGATTAAGGTTAAACAGACTGCACTTCATCAGCTTTCCATTTCCTACTCTCTTTTTTCCTGGTCTGAACTTTCTCCTCCCATGAGTCTCCTCTTCTTCCTTTCATTCCATTTTTACAAATCTTCCCTCATGTGTTTCTTTTGCATGGTCTTCATGACATTTCATCCATGTGGCTAACTCCTTTTCTCTGGATGACTGCTTGGAGGAGGTTTTCGTATTATTTATGGCTTGGGCATCCATTTCCTGCCAGTGAGTGACAGCAGAGACTGCCTCTCAAAATGCCTCACAGCACTGATAAGAGGAGCTGGCAGAGGGTGAGACGAAGCCAGGAGGAGAGGTGGAGCAGGCCAGACTCAAGGGAATGCCATCACCTACATGGCAGGATTCTGATATCTGGGAGGTGAGCTCAGGATTGATTCTAAGCATCCCTTTATCACAGAGAAATTACTTGACATTTGGGGACTTGGGATGGCTACCCTGCCTGACAATGGCACTGGGCTAGGAGGTAATGCATGTAAATTCACTCTTCTCCCTGTTTTTCCATTATCTGATAGGAGTCTAGATAGCAGTGGTCACAATGTCCCAGTACATGGCCTAATTTTAGGTCGAAGTAGGCAAAGATTATTTCCAAGGGTCTGAACAGGAAGAACATTACTCACACTAGAGACCTCTTCCACCGCCTTGGAGAAACTTGGCTTTGTGGGCACATGGCATCATTCTGACCACGTATTGTCAACCCTGCATAGGTTTGCTCTTCTGGGAATCTGCTGCATGTCAACATGTGAGAGATGGAGATGTCCGGTGAGAGAGGGGCTCCATGGAGACTGATAAGCCTTATCCCAATTCTGAGACTGCACTTTCCCATTATTTATTCATTTTTTGGCCCCAGGAAAGCATTGCAATAAATGGAGATTTTGCAAATGGTATGAATTTAGGAAATAGGCCAGAAGAGCCACTCCCTTCTGAAAACAAAAACAGAAGGAATATAATACAGGAAAATGGTAAGGAGTCTGTGTGACTTCTAAGCTCTAGGTGTGTTGTAAAGGAGCTAACAAGACAAGGCAGCCATCTGCCAGGCCAGGGGGGGATGGAGAATGAATTATTTTCCAAGCAGGAAAGAGGAAATGGAGTGTGCAACTGCTGCTATTGCTAAATGGGGTTTCTAATTCTTTTCTCCATAATGGTAATGACTCACATTTATGTGGTGCCTTTCATCAGCTCTGATCTCAAGGAGTGCTCTAAGCCCTCTCTTGACTCAGCTCCTAAATCTGGTCCTCAACAGGCTAAAGGATGACATCTATATTTGTGCTGTGTCTATTTTAGAGCTCATGTAAAATACAACATTCAGATGCTACAAAAGTGAATCCAGAGTGAAGAAGGAACAGGTAGAGGGAGAGAAGTTGTGGAAAGCACAGATGCTTATTTCCCATCATGACCCCAGTATCATCCAGCTGACTAGACACCTCCATTCACATGAAGCCTCTGAAAGATCTTTAGGCTTCTGGCACCCCCAGCCTCATCTCATCTGCCCCCATCTCTTCATGGAGCTTGGCACTGTGGAGTCTCTCACCTCAAGATCAATGCTCTTCGGGAATCCTGACACACTGACATTGGGTTCCAGGTGCTGCTAAAGATATTTTTTTTCCTCATGCTTTGAGGGTTCAGAAATGGAGGGGAATTTGGGGTATAGGGAAGGAAAGACCAAGACTTCGAAGGGAGGTGAATGATAGGGAATCTGGTCTGTTCCAGTAAGACATTCCAAAAGATGTGCTGGGACATCAGGCATAACTCATATAGACATAGACGCCACCAATGATTGTGATTCATTAAATGCTGGGGAAAATAAACTCATATCACACAGAAATAGGCACAGAGGAGTGGCAAAAATAACTCAGAGAACTGGATTTCAGTAAGGACCAAAATGGAAGCCCTGTCCACGAAGATATTTCCAGATTGATATTCAGGAAAGGTTAGGCCATAGGATTCCTTCGTCACTGGTTGGGAATTGAATCAAGGAATGTCTTCTTTCCTTAATTACTGTCTTCTGCAATGATCACATAATCACTATGCAGACACCTAGGCAAAGGCAGAAAGTCAGAGGATGGATGGAATTCTGAGAGGAACAATGGTAGGGACACAGAGGAGCACTGGTCTGCATTGTAGAGTGGCCTTAACTAGCCAGGTGACATGTGGTTGAGCTTCAGTGCAGTGGGCCAAGCACTGAAGTGGGCTTAGAATCGAAAGCAGAGGCTTTCTGAACCTGGCCATGTCACTTAATCTCTTTGAGCCTTAGTGTCCTGACCTATAATATAGGAATAAAGGCACCTGCCTTCCAAGATTGCAGGAAGGTTGTAGTGAAGAAATGTATGTGAATGGCTTTAAGAACTGAAACACACTACACACAAGAGGTCTAGCCCAGCCCTTCAAGTTACAAATGGGAAGACTCCAAAGAGGTGAATCCTATGCCTGAGGCCACAGAGAGAGTTCATAGCAGAGTCGGGCTTAGTTCCCAGTTCTTCAGGCTGAATCCAGCTTTCATTCATGACATCGTCATGCTGCCCAATTCTTCCCATCTCATGTGGCTGGCTGAAGATCAAATGAGATGATGGGAGGGAAGTAAGAGTATTTTGAATAAGGTGAGGGCCACCATGTGAACACAAACACAAGGAAAGTGGTATGCCCAGAATGTGGGCACCCTCGGAGACCCACACAGTGACCAGAGATGGATCCCACTGGGAAACTTCATGAAGTCAACCAGTACCAGCAGTACTGTCTGACCACAGAAAAATCCCAGTAAGACCTGTGAGAAACCTAACTCAACAATGGCTACTTTTAGCTTCTGTGATCTTGCTTCTCAGGTCTGTTCAGTTAGGATTCTTGCTTGTGGGTTTTTAGCAGTAACCCACCACCATTATTTTCTAGACAAATATTGCCCAGAAAATACAAAAATAAGAACATCCTCTATCCATGGCTAGTTTAGTTCCCATGGATCAGTGCCATCATTCTGAAAGACTCATCAACAGTATTTCTCATGTGCAAGTTTAATCTAGTGCCTCCTATCCATCTAGTTCTTAGCCTGGGCTCTGTGCAAAACCAAACACCTTCAACAAAATCGGATGATGAGAAATGGCAAACCCAGATGAGCACATCTGCTTTGGGTAGACATGAAGGGTGGGCCATTTATTGCCTTTAGCAAATGCAGGAGACGTGACTGCAAATTGGTCTCTTCATTGACCAAGGAGAACATCTACCACTACAACTCACAAGGTAGTGGCAATCTGCGACAATCTTTATGTGGTTTCTAACTCATAATCATATTTCTTCTTGAAATCTGCTGGCCTAGAAAATGTCTGATTCCTCATGAATAGACTGTTCTTACCTTCACTAATTATGGACTCCCTGGGAAGGGAGAGGACAAGCGAGGGGTACGCATCATAAATAGAGGTGAAACTACACCCAAACCTCAAACGCGGATGATTCATCCTTTAAAACCAGGCTTTGGCAAGAGAAGGCAGGGGCAACACAAGAAATTCTTTTATCTTCTGCATCTCCTAGGATAAGAGTTTCTACTATCTTCCTAGTAAACAACGGCTCTGTTCTTCTACAGGAGTCTTATTATCTATGTTATATATGCACAGGGACAAAAGGATGCTTTTGCAGATGTGTGAGGCTCCCATGGCTGGGAAGGATCTGTGTGGGTGGGGAGGTTAGCAAGAAAATTCTGCCAGGAACTGATAAGGAATGAGATCTTTCTAGCAGCAACCAACACTTCGCTTTGGAGATTAGTGAGAAAAATCCCATTCCAGGGGGCATGCTAAGAGACATAGTGGTAAGATCTTATGGGGATAGGAGGCACATAGCAAAATGACAAGTACCTGAATGAAGCCAAGGCTTCACATTGGGGGACTGCCCAGGGCAGCTTATCAAATGCCTATAGCCAAAGGGAGGACAATATGGCCTGGGGCTGGCTCCCTGAATCCTTGAAGTTAGACTTCAGGATTCATTGGTCATCGGCTTCCACGGACTCTGCGATAGACTTCTGACCTAAGATGTGTGACCTCTGGAGACAGCATGTTGGATAAACTATATATTCATTCTCTTCCAGCCTTGTCATTCTCGGAATCTTGTTGGTATTCCTAGTGATTTTGGGGGGCTTTATCCAACCAGCAAAATGTAATTTCAGATCAGATGAGGAACTGAGAACAGCATTTTTAAAATAGAGCATAAATGTACTGGATATGGTTGCAGCCCAGGCAGCTACTGAGGCTGCTTCTAGGTCCACAATTTCTCAGGCAATGATTCCAGGAGAAAAGAAAGGTGGGAAGTACCCAGTAAACAATGCATAAAATGTGCAGCAAACTCAAATGTGCAAGGAGCCCTGCTGGTTTCATTCCCAGCTCTCTGCAAACTAAGAAACAATGTGCCAAAGACGGCTAGCATCTGTGGTGCAAAGCTCAGCAATGAAATAACCAGACAGTTCAAGTCTGAAGAGAGACTTGGCCTTACCTGGAGACATGGAGGAGTCATAAGAACTTCTCTCCTTGCGGGTCATCTTGAAGGCTTGGATGTCCTTCTCTCTGTACGTCCCAAAGCCCTCAAAGCTCCTCCTTTTACTCCCACTCACATCATTGTCCCACTTGTCATTTGAAGGGGTCATTTCACTGAATACGTCCAGGCTGTCTGATCTCGTGCTGCCACTGTCCCCACCACTGCCAGAGTACCTTTTAGTGCATGAGTCCACAGGCTCACTGCTCAGGTCACCTTTGTCCTTGGTCTGCGTCCAATGCTGGGCATCAGAAAGTGACAGCGTAGACAGGGTGTCCACTTCAAAGTTGTTCTTCGAAGCTCTGTGGCTGGCTTCACTGTGCTGGTGCCTCTGTTTCTCCTTATGCTTGTTCTTCTCACTCACCAATGGGAGCTCTTTGTCTGCGCTGCTCAGCCGCTCGCTTAGGATGTGGCTGGAGAAGCCTGTGGCTTTGCCTGCAAAGAGACCACTCAGGTTGTCATGGGTCCCTAGGATCCGGTCTTCCTTGTGCTTATGCTTGTGTTTATGTTTCCTCTTGTGGAGCCGACTGCTGGACAGACTGGCACTGCCCACCTTGGGAGGGTTCAGGGATGGCTGCATGTCACCAAGGCCCATGCCAACAGGTCCTTGCAGGTGTACTCCATGCTTGGCTTTATGCTTAGCTGTACCAGACATCTTTACATGGGAGCTCGTGTGGAACTGAGGTGGGGGCACTGTTGGCCTCATAAATGGGGAAGCTGCTCCAAGTGTGTGCGATAGGTACAAAGGAGCTGGGTACTGACCGTAATAACCGAGGTTCATCATAGGCATTGATGTGTAAGGCATTCCATAGGGTGCATAGTAACTTCCACTGGGAATAGGGTAGCTGAACCCTTGTAAAAAAGGCACCTTTGTCATGGTGTCATTGGTTTTTGCAGGCCTACCACGCTTCTTCTTTGACTTCAAGTCTGAAGTCCTACGAAGATAGAGCAACGGGTCATACTGGATATATGGCACCGGGTAATAGTGATCAAAATTAATTCGAAAAATGCTGGGATATGGATTCTCATGGTAAAATGTGTAACTCCGGTGGGAGATCCTGAACACCTGGAACTTGGTTATGAGCTCTTCCAGGTCTGCCAGAAACTGGAGATCATCACGGTTTTGCAGGCTTTTCCGTTTCCTCTTGTGCTTTGGCTTCTTGAGGCTTTCGTGGGCCAGGAAGTTGTCCACCATGAGGTGCTTCTGCCGGTGGCCATGCCGGTTTTTTGTGCTGGTGTCAGACGGTATGGCCTCCGGGTTGTCCAGGGAGCAGAAGTCAAAAGAGTACCTCCGTCGGGATTCTGAACTCTTCTCCGCTTGGTCAGACGTGCTGTTGTTGTCTGTCCCGATGCCACTGTCACTTGGTATCGTCTCCTCACTGTGCGACTCGCTCACAGGGGACAGCGTTATTTCCTTTAGTGAGCCGATCTCACAAAGGTGTGAAGGTGAGTTGGCCATCAGCCTGGGTGGTGACAGCTTCCAGGTTCCACTGTGTATTCCCTTTTGGGTTTTGGTTGGAAGAGCACTGATGGGCTGGAGATTTGGCATAGTTTTCAACTCTGAAAAATTGGTTTCAGTGCTGGCGGGGCTCAGGTTGCCATTTGACCCACCTAACTGTGTTGAAAGTGGGTGCATAGCTGCTGGTGAAGATGCCACAAGTGACTGAAAGTTGGAAGGCACGGCTGGAACATCCGGCTGGCTAGAAACAGGCCTTGGGTGCTTGATGGCTGTTTTGGGTTCTTCGGATGGGGGTGGCAGCTCTGTTCTTGGCTTCCTGCCCCTCTTCTTGCCAATATAGATGGTTCCCCTCTTGCTGACGTTAATCTGCTTGCCCAGTTTGCTTTCGATTGCTGATGCCCCTGGGCTGGTTTCCGGGGGAGCTTTCGCCTTCAAAGCCATGTTGCTGGAGCAGGACAAGATCTGGTTCAAGATATTTTTCCTCTTGAGTGTCTTCATCTTATTGATCGTTTTGATGGTCTTCTTATCCAACACACCAAGCTTTCCAACTTTTTTGTGAAATTTCATCTCGCTCATGGGTTTGTCCTCTCCTGGTACTAGCTGGGCCAACTTAGCTAAATTGTGTCGCCTCTTTCTTTTCTTGGTGCCAGGAAACTCTCGGCTGATGGGACTGACTGGGCTGGTGGAAGTACCCTCGTGAATCGTCTCAACTGTGAGCAAAGGCTGCTTCTTTGGTCGTCCCCGCTTCTTTTTGACTGGAGTGATCACAGTAAGACTGTCTGTGTTGGTGTACAGAGGGCTGGATGGGGTGATGGGGTAAGCAGATGGCGGTTCCACCATAAGTTTATCAGAGGCGGCCATGACTGCCTCACGGAGCATACTGGTGGGTTTTGGTTTGCTGCACGTCCACCTCCGTTTTGCAGCAAATTTTGGATGTTGGATTTCTGGCAGCTTTCTTGATGGAGAGTGGTCTGTGCATGTTGGAGGCGTCATGACTATGGGTGGCTTTCGCTGCTTAGGCACACCTCCTGGGACAACTTTCTCGGTATTTCCACCAGTTTCAAGGCCAACTGAGGGGGACTCATTCTCTATCATTTTACCCAACTTAGGCACACGGGGATCTTTTTTATTTCCCTCAGAGTTGGAGAGTATCCTGTTAACTACTTCACTGCTCATAGCAATTCCAGAAGCCAGGGCTTTCTCTGGGATGATCTTTTCCACCACTGCTTTAATGGACTGCCTCTTTTTCCTCTTATGGCTGGTTGGATCTAGAGAAGGTGCCTTGATGGGGATAGTAATCCGGACATGACTTGAGTCATTTTCAGGATTACTAATGGAACTCATGCTCTGCCTGGCTGGCGATGCCTCTTGGGCATTATCTGCAGAGTAGCCTTCCCTTTTCCCTTCTGTGTTATCAAATGCTTTCTGGGCATTCTTGACCCAGTCCAGGTCTGGGTTTGGTACAGTTTGACTTATCACATCTTTCTTGCTGGACTTTTTCTTGCTACTTATAGTAGGTGGTTCTGGGGGCTCCTTTGCACCTCCTCCCTCTTGATCTACCAGGGGCTGAAGCCCATTGCACTCAGCAGAGCTGCTGGGTGGGGCTGGTGAGCTGTGGTTGCTTGGGGATGGAACCACACTCCCCAAGAGCAAATCTTTGCTATTGTTAGACAACTGACTCCACGTGCTTCCTGCACTGCCTTTCTTACCCTGGGCCTTTGCAAAGGAAGCCATGGGCTCAAGAGCTGGGATCTTGCTGGTGCTTGTAGTTTCTCTGCCAGACTCTGGACTGATGAAGCAATTCTGAGTGGCGGGTCCACTGTCAGAGCTGGTGGACCAGTCCATGTGGTTCTGGCTGCTGCTTTTTTGCTGGTGCTTTGGTTTTAAGGTGTCACTGGTGAAGTCCTGTGGGAGGCCTGGGTCGTAGTGGAGAGTTGAGTGTTTCTGGGGCCTCTCGTAAGCCTAAGGGTGGGTGGAGTGGAGAGGGAGAAAGAGAAAGAGAGAGAAACAAAGATGAGCATGTTGGAACTACTTAACATTTAAGGTCCAAAGCCTTAAGTATTTGAAAGTTGAAAACAAATAACTATGTTAACAGCCACCTTTCATTCCAGAATGCTTTACAGAGGTTTTCTCAATTGCAGTAGTAAAGACATATTGCACTGACTTTGAACATTGTTAAGGATGAATTAATTGCTACCTTTTCCATCTAAATAGGAGGAACTTTGAATTATTTCGGTTTAATGCAACCTGAAAATACAAACTGTTTAGAGAGAGGAGGAGGAGGTTCTAAAGGTCACTTAGCCCAGGGTCTGTATTTTACAAGTGAGGAAGTTGAAGCCTGGACAGTGGAGAGTCCTGCCCAAGGTGGCAGAGCCCAGGAGAGACTCTGAACTTTCCAAGAACTCCCAGAGTACTTTTGCCTAACTCAAGCTGCCTATTATTATGTCCCTGCTTCTCCTCAAAGGCACGTCTTTTCCTTGCTTTCTCCTATTTCCACTTCGTTTCAGCTTGTGCTTTACCCTAGAGCTCAACAGCTCTGTGCTCAAACAACAAGGAGCTCACCAGGAACCACCACAATAAGCCCAAACAGCACAAGTTGAGGAATTAAGATGGGAACAATATGAACACTGCGTGGGGGAAAGAGGGCCAGTCCTGGGCATGAAGAAGAAATGGAAGAAGAATATAACATGAAAGAATCGTTCTGAGCCTTCAAGCCTTTGTGGATTCTAGGAGTGTTGCTGTGTTTGGGGTTAGCACACTGAGGCATCCACCCATAAAGCTCTCTTAAACAGGTATTGTTTTCTCGAGGAAACTATTGGCAAACTAATCCTTTGAGATATAGTTTTGAAAGGAATCTTGACTCTCTTGGACAAATGTGCCAGGAAAAAAATCATTGTCATTGAGGACGACTACTGTGAACTTTGTCAACTGTGTTTTCCCCTACATTGATTCATTTCAATGAATGTCTTCAGCACCTTCCTAAGGACCGACTCTTCAGTTAGGAAAGGCAGAGCCTGGTGCTTGAGGCGCAACATAATCGGAGTCTATAAAATCACAAAGGGAATGGATGCTGAACACATTTTTTTGAGATATTAAAACTATTTTTAATATAAACATGCTCTCACTGTTCTAGATGGATTTTAAGCCATGCTAGTAGTACAAAGAAACATGGCTTACAGCTCATTGGATGATTTACACATAGAGTAGTAAACTTACAGGATGCATTAGCTTAGGATTTGTTAAAAAAAGAAAAATATTAGTAAATTGAAGAAAGCTTTGGATAATTTCCCAGATGAGAAGTACATGATACGCTTAGTGAATTTAGAAAAATTTCACCTATAATATCTATCTATCTATCTATCTATCTATCTATCTATCTATCTATCTATCTATCTATCTATTTATTATCTATCTCTATTGGCCATTGATGTTATAGAACTTACGCTTTATCAAGAAACATTTCTAATAGTCCTGTTAAGAGTCAAAACACAAATGGCAGAGAGCATTGCAGGTAAAATTCGATGTAATGTCTCTTCACACTGGGATCCCTAGGGTTATTTAATGCCCCCCTTGGGTTTTATGAAATCCTGTTCATACTTAAAATATTGCCCTACACGTTCTAAGTATCGTGAGACAGTATCCCCAAGCTAAGCCAGCAAATGCCCAGGAGAAGATTAAGAAAACAATTTGTTTAAGTTTTTTATTCATCTTGCAATTTATAGTAGAGACACCACCATCCCAACATAGAGAGAATTAAACCTACTACTTAAGTGTGTTTACTAGGTATGACTGCTGTGGACATAGGCTGCTATTCCATTTTTGGCAAAAATATGGGAATCTTATTCACGGTATAAAATATTACATGCCACTTACTTATCTTTTATGAATCAGGGCTTTCCTAATTTGTCACTCACACTTTGGACTTCAGCTGGCACTGAGTGTTTACTCACAAGGTTGCAGGGCCAGAAGAGAGCTTGGAGAATGCTTTCCTCTCCTTAGGATGACAATGTATTCCTCATATTGGAGCATTTTTAAGAGTTAGTGGGATGACTATAAAGAATTATAGTGGGACAAAAGGGGTAAATTATTGTTTTGTACTTGGGCAAAACAGGATTGGCGGTCACCTTCTTTCCTCCAATCCCTGCTCCCTCTACATCTGTAGCTCTGGACAACGAAGTCCACAGAGGGGCTTCATGGTGACACTAGAACTGAAACCTCGGTCCCTGAATCACCTCACTTTTTCTCTGTTGCTCTATCCTCTTATTCTTGGCACCTAGAAAATTCCTTAATTGATGCTTTCTTGCTGTTCTCAGCTTAATCCTAGGGAGGCTCCCCTGCTTTACAGAAATACTTCTATTATAAGTTCTTATGAAACCATGTATCTAATCTTTGCTGCATGTATCATAGTTTTAATTTTACATTTGATTTGTGTGCTAAGTAAAGTAAATGCTTGCCTCTCCTTCTAGCTTGTGTACACCATCATGGAGTTACCAAACACGGAGCCTGGTACCTAGTAGGTACTCAATTAACATTTATTGAATGAAGCAGCGTACATTTTACTACAGTTATTTTATTTGAACAATAGTAAGATTAATGACCTATATATTGTGACATATTGTCTGCAAACAGAGTCTCCACCCCCAGCCTAATTTCTTATGTCATACCTACCTTCTGTGGGTACCATTGCCTCCCATAAAGACATCTATCACAGTCCTTATAATGTTAGGTGACATTTATTGGCATACTTTTCTGTCTTCCTCTCCTTGACTGTAAGTACTCTGAGGTCAGAGACTGTCTTATTTTTTCTTCTTATCCCCAGTACCTACTACAAAGCCAAGCAATCAGAAAGTTCTTCATAAATATTCGTTGAATTAATAAGTAAACAAATGAATGCATGAGGTGCCTATTACCATGGCAGAATATATATCTGCGCAGGCTGATCTTTTATTTGATAATGGCTCTTCACAAAATTGGAGAACTGAAATGCATTAGGTGTTGAACACTAAATCTTCTCCAAATATTTAAGGACTAAAGGAGCTTGTAAGGTAACTCCCCTTCAATGCAAGTTTTACTGTTAGTTCCCCCCATCTCCTGTTGTTTCACTTTTCAGTGAACTTGACTTTGGGGAAGGCCATGGGACTGTCAGAAGGGTGGCTTTCACCCTGAAAAGTGGGGCCTGCTCACTTACACCAGGGCAGGCCAGCAGTGAGGAACACAGTTAAGCCAGCGTGGTGCCCAGTGCTTCCTCTGGACCACTGCCTGATCCCATAGTCCCTAGCATTTTAGCTGCAATTTGCCCTGCTGGGAGAGAGCAGCAATCAAAGGGCAGAGTGGACAAAAGAGAAGCACAACAAAGGATCAGGAGTAATGGAGGGAAATGGTGCTTTAAATACCTCACTCAGACGTGCTGCAGAGAAGGAGCAGAGAGGACCCTGAAGGAGCATTTTCTGAGAGGTCAGGAGAGCGAGGCCTCCTCCAGCCGTGGCTGATGGCTGCATCTCACTGCATTTCATGAAACCCCAATTCTTCATTTGTCAGCCATGACATATTATATACACAATAGTGAGGCTGTCAGTTCCAATATGTCCTTTGCCGAGAATTGAGCACTTATTCTGTCCAGACAGAGAGGGACAAACAAGCTACGGAAGGGGGAGCCCAGGCTCTCCCTCCCATCCTCCATCCTCTCCAGTGGACTGAGGTACGATGTCTGATTGGAGTCTTCATTAACCTACACAGCACATGTCTCCTTTTCCTCTTTACATTGTGGTTTTTATTATTATTATTTTTTTTTATAAGACCTGAATCTTTTAAGGCCTTTATACTACCCTCTGGCCTCAGCAGGGCTGCCTCCTAAAGTTAGCAAATGAGGGAACAGTTAATGATATTCCACACTGGGCACACAGCTCAGCATGGTTCTTGGCTATTTCCCACCTCTCTCCCCACCCCTAAGAGTTGATTGCTTGTGGAACTCATAGTTATTTTGAAGGTGTGGCTCACATTTATAAGAAAAGTGTTTTCCATGCACATTGAGTCTAGACCAAAGGTTGGCGAGTAAAACATAATTTTGGAAACACTAGACAGATTTGTTTCTTAAAGGATGTCTTCATGGAATCACATCCTTCTGCAACATGAAGAATTCTTTTGTAAAGTAGATAACTATTCTTTCCCTCACAAATTATGCATAAATCACAAACGTTTAAATTTTATACAAGTCATATTTCTTTTTAAAAAGCACTTTATATTTTATCTAATTTTTAAAATGTACATTAGGCCACTGAATAAAAACTTACAGATTTATAAAAATGGGAAGAAAGTGAGTAACCTAGCCTTATCTCAGGCTTACCTAAAGCAAGGTTTGTTGCAATGAGATGAGAAGACGATGATTTGAATCTGAGAAAAATCATACAACTCATCAAAAAAAAAAAAAATCAAGCATGACTTTGCGGGAGATAATCTAGTCTTTTGGGTTAGCTATGTCTGTGCTACTTTCTGCTGACACCAATAATTTAAATTTACTGTTTGTGAGATATTTTGGCTTACATGAGCAGGAAAATATGCCTGGGTACAAAGCAATAGGGGGAGATTTCTCTCTTAATTTGGTACTTAGTGCTTCTCAAGATGTGGTCTTGATCACTGTATCAGGATCACTTAAGGGGCTGGTTATAAATGCAGATTCCTGGGCCCCACTGCAGACTCACTAATTCATAAGTTCTCAAGATGGGAATACAGGATGTGCATTTTAACATGCTCCCCAGATAATTCTGATGTACAACCAAGCTGCAAAACCCACTCGTCTAGTGTTTTAACACCATACTGTCTCTGGATGGGGCTCTTCTGTGGTTGCTATGACATTTACAGCATCTTTTGGTGGTAAATATGCAGAGCTAACCACCATAGGCCTCTTAGGATATGCAATTTCTTAACACTGAGCATTCCTGTTTTGCTCTCTGAACTCTGTATAA